TTCATTTAGGTTCTTTTGATAACGATTGCAGAAAATAGCTATCGAAACGTCAAGGTAATTTTTCAAATTAATTTCTTTTCTAATTGGAATTTTCTGCTACAGCTTGAGCCTAAGTGTGTCGCAAGATACCCTCTAGGTGATAGTTCTTGATTACTTTTCGATAAATAATTCGTTCTTATTGCGAAATAGGAGCACTATTTATCAATCTGTAATAGAAGACGTGAGGAAATTCTGTCTATTTTAAAGACAAAAATTTTTGAGGCGAAATACCCAACAAGAAGTTTGTAATAAAATAAAAAATAGGTAAATGTGATACAGTTTTACCTTTTCCTCTATTTCTCTCTCAATCTCAGCATAGCACCAATATGGTTTTCTCTTTTTCGATTTTTTCCCACTAATCCTAGTGCTTCGTTTGCGGTTTGATGAAGTCTTGATGTAAAGCAATCGTACTTTTAATTTGGGTTTTTACATGAACGTGCATTGAGTTTTTTGTCTGGTGTTTGTGCAAGTTGTTTTTTATATACGGCCCACCGTCGGATCGATCAACTTTTTTCTTGCTCTGCTGTTTATGTATCCCAATATAACAATTTCTCTATATGTGCTAATTGTTGATATTTCGTTGAAAAGTTGTTCGAAGAACTTGTCTTTGTCGGTTATGTTTACTTGAATACAGAAAATAAATAAAGGCCAAAATACGTAAAAAAATGCCTAAAGACATACATATAAAAGAGGACAAGCACATATGTATATGAAAATAATGAAGGTGTTATCCGTTAAAGTTCAAAATTAGACTACTTAGGTTCTATGTAGTGTTGGTATATTTTTGTGGAGCGAAGACGTGGAGGATCAAGGAAGGAGAAAAATTTATGAAAAAGTGAAGCCCAGTGCAAAAAAGCACTTGTGGATGAGGATCTTGTGCCTTTGCTTCCATTGGCTCCATTGCTCGAACAATCAATTGTTTAAATCGTTGCGATAAACAGTCGAGTTCCTTTGATGATTGACTACTGTAGGTACGAAGGTACGATTGAGTTTTCATGAAAAGTATGCAAAAAAGTCCGCAATTGGTTAAACTATTTTCGCCTACCCTAATAAATTTCTATCTATGTGAAACATATCGATCGATCGTTGATTGGATTTTGCATTCCAATCTGCCAAGGTCCGAACCGAAAATGCCAAAGTTTTTAAAAATTTCGTTAAGCTTAAAGCCTTAAAGTCAGATCCCACAGTTTTGCATTCGCGTCTTCTCCCTTATTCTAAGAAAAAAATTCAAATAAATCAGCACTATACGTTACATTTTATCTTCGTAGGTCCGGTAGTAGTAATACATGTATCTCGTTTGCACCGGCTGATAATGAAAGCCCTGATACGACATTTTGGGTGATTGTTTCTGACAAATTTTACACTACTGACATGCACTGAAAAAGTACTAAACTGGGAAAAGACAGTAAAAACGCACAGTGCGAGCAACATTGATAAAGCTGCTATCGCGTTTATGCAAATTTATGAAGCAGATAAGTGAAAAGCACAGGAAATAATCGACATGCGGGCGTTAAAGTTATTTGAACTGCGTACAGCGTGTTTCCAATAAACAATTTTTTTCGCTGAAAAACCATCAGTAAAAAAGCATAATCCATCCCTGATGCCGGGCAAAATATAAGCGGGAAATCAATAAAACTCGCCAAAGAACACCCATAAAGCTCAAAGCGCGGTTGTTCCACTACTCACATTTTGTCTTCCTCTAAAAAGTAATCATACTCTAAGTCCAGCATGCCTCCTCACTAATTCTAGCCTAAAATACCTAGTTATTTCGTAAATTCTAGCGATTATTAGGGGATTGCGATAACTACTTGTTAATATGACACGATAAACTGACAGGATAAGGGACGCTGGTGCGCCAGGCGTCGCGGCGCTGCTTTCCCTAATTTGCTTCTTTGGCAAAACAGAGCCGGAATTTATAGAGTTTTCTTCGGTTTGTGAGGTGAATTTGGTACGAAAACTGCAAAACAAAAATTCGTTTCTTAAACTTATAAAAGAACTAGAGGGCGATTAAAAATTGGCTAGTTGGTTCGCTGATCAAGAGTTACTGCGGCTTACTTCGAGACGATGAACTGAATCAGTTTTTCTTAACTTTAAGTTTATTTTCCAAAGATATCAGCCCTTGGAGTGCTGTTTGCTGAAGTCATTCTGAATTTGATCGAAAAAGATTCAAAGAATGCGCGAAGTTTTTCTACTATCTCGAGGTTGAAATGATCCTCCCCTAATGCTGCGCCGCCAATTTAACCAGTACAATAAGCTTATTTTTTGCGCCAATTTTGTCAAAAAATACAGTTTTGATCCCAATTACCCAATTTATTATTTTTCTGTTTGAAGGCCGGGATGGATAGCCAATACTTACTTAAGTGGAGCCTACTCATTTCAATATTTTTAACTGTATATACTTTTCAGACTGTGTTTCAATTCCAAATCAAAATTAATTCTTGGGTTTCAGTCATTTATTGTCTTTATTTATCAATTAAAATACGTTTTGGTGTATTTTTCCACCATCATCAGTTTTTCTAAAATAACAG